GGGCTCAGTAGTTGTGGCGCACAGGCTTAGTTGCTCCGCGGCATGTGGGATCTTCCCGGACCAGGGCTCCAACCCGTGTCCCCTGCGTTGGCAGGCGGATTCTTAACCACTGCGCCACCAGGGAAGCCCGGCGTTCTTTTTCTTAAGCAGCTTTTCAGATATCAGTGATCCTTCCCCTAGAATCTGGAATGATGGCATTGGAAAACTTCCTTCTACAGGCATGCCTCACCTCTTCCTCTCTTAAGATGCTGAGCTGTTGGACCTGCTCATTCCTCCTGTGCTCACCTCTCAGATGGCGTGGGGACAGGCCCTCCCACTTGGTGAAATGACAAACTCTAGAAAGGGCCTCATGGAGAAAATGTATAGACAGTTAGCACCATTGATATCATAGCCAAAATATATTAGATGTGCCCAGGAAATGACTGCCACTGCCTGATCACAGACATTTTCATTTGGGGGCAAATTTGTTAAAAATATGCTTCAGTGAGTTCTCTTCAGTATCCAGCCCCCCGAGAAGAAAAGGTCTCGAGATGTCCTTCTCTTACTAACCAAGTGGCAGAATCCCTTAGGCAGTCACCGTGGAATTGGGGCTTCTTCAGGCCAGATGGTCCCAACATTACCTTCTGCCAGCACCATCCCTTCCAAACCCAACGTGGACAGAAGGAACAATCCATGACAGCAGATCCTTGTGCGACGCTTTCTTCAATGGACTAAAGCATAGATTGAAGGGCTTTGATAGAAAGATGTTGCTAAAACATAATGATAAACAAAAGGACCCCACCCTGTCCCGCATCTGCTAAAAAAAAAATAATAACTAAGCTGGGTAGAGGGGGAAAAAGAAGGTCTGTCTCAACCCAAGAATATAATAACACTGACTCTCTTTCCTTGTTTTAGGGAATGCTGTCGATTTTTTGGAGACAATGGCTTGACTTTGAAGGTGTTTTTTACCAAGGCAGCACCCTTTGGTGTTCTTTGGACACTCACAAACTACCTGTACTTACATGCAATAAAGAAAATAAACACTACGGATGTGTCCGTATTGTTCTGCTGCAACAAAGCTTTTGTGTTTTTGCTCTCGTGGATCGTTCTCAGGGACAGGTTCATGGGAGTGAGGGTAAGTTCCTTATTCTCTGTCTTCCTCCCTCACTCAGTCATGCCAACCAAAACCTGCCCATCGGCTTGCTTAGCCTCATGTGCTGGGCCTTTAAGCATAAGCTGCTATAACCACTTTCCTTCTCATTTGCAGCGGAAAAGGAGCCCGGCTCTCGGGGTGCCTTGCAAACCTTCTTGCTTGCGAACCATTCTAGACAAGCGTTCATTAAAGCACCTTTCATTTCAAGCATTTCAACAAGCATTCCCTAAAGTGTGTGCTGCTCGGGGACCCCCCTGGGAGGAGTGATGTGCTCACCCCGCCTTTCAGGGGTCCTGCGGCCTGGAGCCCCCTGCTAACACTGCCACTGTCTGCTTAGGAGGTATCTGAAAGCCAAAGGTCCTTCTGCATCCACACGGACGTGCAGTCTTGGCGGCCCTTTGTCTGGACCGTGGGTTCAGTGCCCAAGTGGGCCGGACACACTTATGCTAAGTCCAAACTTTGGAGGGACAGTTTCACTCCCTTCAACCCCAGAGCAAGGGAGAATGAAATGATACCCCGAATTACCTCTGGTTGTTACATCTGAGACTGCGTAAATTCCCTTAAAATCAAGTCAGATTTATTAGCTAGTCACATTTCAGAACAGTTGTGTGAAATATGGCAAGTGCGCTATCAAACATGAGCCGAAATATAGATAAAAGGAACAGGTGACTTTTAGCCTTGACAGAATCCTGCCGGCTTCTGCTTGTCTCCCTCTGCTGGCCAGGACCTGCCACTGCCCCACCATCACCTTGTCACAAACAAGGACAAAAAGGATTCGACCAGGCAGCTAGTAGTCCTGTAGTCAGAGCGCCTCGCTTACTCCTTCCTGCACCCTCAGGCCGTGCAGGAAGCCCACGAAGCTCAGAGTCCTTTTGAAGGGCAGTCCCTTTAGAGCAGCGGTCCCCAACCTTTTGGGCACCGGGGTCGGGTTTCGTGGAAGACGGTTTTTCCAGGGACGGGGGCGGGGAGGGGGGGGGGGGGGGGGGGGAGGTGGACGGTGGGAATGGTCAGGCGGTAATGGGAGCGATGGGAGCGGCTGTAAACACAGATGAAGCTTCACTCGCTCGCCCGTCTGCCACTCACCTCCTGCTCTGCGGCCCAGTTCCCAATGGGCCGCGGACCGGTACCGGTCCACGGCCCGGGGGTTGGGGACCTCTGCTTTAGAGTGAACCCTGCTGGGAACCGGGGGTTGGGGACCTCTGCTTTAGAGTGAACCCTGCTGGGAACCCAGCAAGGGGCAGAGACTCCAGGCGCTCTGCTTGTGTCCTTGGCTAATTGTCCTGGGGACAGTGGCATCACCTTCATGGCGGATTCACGCCCACCTAGTTTCTCAAACAGCAGTGGGGACGTGAGTCAACTGCTGAGTCGGATTTTTAGCTTGCAGTAGGGGGAAAATTTGTTTTGAGGCTTCGTGTTAATTTTGGAATAAGAACTCAGCTCGCTGTGCTACCACCCAGAAAAGCTTTGAGCCAATAAACCATCGAATACACCTCCACTAGAAATGAGGTACGGCCAGAGGCAATCGGTCCAATCGCCTGCCTGCCTGGACGCTAAAGATTCGGATGTCCTAGGACCCACTGCGGCTTTATTTTGAGGTCAAAAGCCAGGGGAATGCATGGAGCATTTGGGGGCGTGATTCTGATGTGTCCAAAACAAGTTCCGATGAGACTGTTACCGTGAAAAGAGGCTTCAAGGTTCATTCTGCATCTAAGCAGAAGAAAACAGAAAGCTTTTGAGGTTAAAAGAAGGAGGTGTGAAAACACTGAAACCCACTTGGACTCACAGAGAACAGAGTGGCACACCCAGATCTTTTCCTCGTTGCTATTCATGGGTAAAAGGGTTTCCGCTAACATCCCTGAGCTGTGATTCAGTCCTGCCATCCTGGCCACTTGCTCAGCTTGGGCTGTGCCGACCCCTGTAGACTGAACAGATTTTCGTGTTGAAGCCTTTGGCACGAGGCCAGCACTGAAATGAAGATCCAGGAGCTGGTGTCGGTGATGGAACTGCGTAACCTGTAAAGCACCACGCGGTGGTGGGTCTCTCTAATAATCATCACTCCTCTTAGAAGTACGTGACCTGTCCTCTGAGGTCATCCCACTCCGAGATTTTACTAGAGAGCTAGTAAAATCTGCAAGATGTCAGCATCTGGCCGGTGTGACTGAAAGGTCCCCCTTGAGAAACAGATGGAGATTTGAGCCCAAGATGAGACCTAACCAGTACACTGGAAGTCTCTGAGACTTCCCTCGGACTGCTGGGTTAGCTGGCACCTTCTACTGGGTCATTGCCAGAGATTGAAAGGAACTGACACTATTTTCCATCCTGGAAGGCTGAGCATACTGGTCTGAGAGTCACACAGATGTAGAGGACAGATGTTTGTGGAACAGGTGACATGGAGGGCTTGAGTTATTAAGGCAGTGACTCAAATCACAAGGGCTGTGGTTCCTAGAAAACATCAACAGGGCCGAGTCATGCAGACAGACCAGAGAGAAGAAAATGTTTATCTTCGAATGCTGGGGAGATCGTGGCCACATATGGCATCAGAGGCGAGTGTATGAGAGGAGCCCACCTTGGCCCCCATATCACCCCTTGACTGTGTACTTAGATGTGCGTTTCACATGTCTTCCAGGCTTGGGGTCATAATGGGTCCTCTAACCTAGAGTCGAGCGATGAGGGTTTGGGTCCACTCTCATGAGCTGTTGGACCTTGAGCTAGTTACTTAACATCTCTGAGCCTTAATTACTCGACGTTAAAATAGAATGTTAGTACTCAGGGAACAGTTGTAAGAATAAAATAAGGTATGCGTGCCCGACACGTGAAACCCAGTAAATGTCATCTTTTCTCAGTGTTGTTATTATTCTTATTCCTTCTCAATAAGAGGCGTTTGACGGACCTGCCCAGTTCTTTGGCTGACACTGTCAGAGGCTGGCAACTATTTAGGGAGGCGGTTTGGTGTAGCAGAAGCAGCAGGAGAATGACAGCGAGCAGAATTCTCGGGGCAGGAGGTACGGCCCCTCCCAGGCCAAAGCCCGCCCGGCTGTGGCCCGCAGCTGGATGAAGGAGGGGTTGACCGGCCTGCACTGCCCACAGCCCGCATCTCAGAGGAGGTGGCAGATGGGACCCTCAGCTCTTCAAAATCACCCACTGCAGCTAGAGCGTTCACACCAGGAGGACTGGAGGAAGAGCAAGGAGACAAGCTGAGGGATCATCTGGGCGGCATCCAACCGCCGCACACGGTCCTGGGGAGCCTGGATTTCTTCCAAGAGCAGTTCCCATCTCAGTAAGATCCCAGCTGATGTCTTCCATAGTGACACGCTGGCGGCCTCTCCCACGGGGCCATGCCTGAACGGTAACCCCAGCTGCTGATCCCGACTCCGACTTCTGTTTGGGCAGCTGTCCCCTGCCACCTGAGCACAGCCTGGGGGAGGGCACAGGGCACACAGAGCGCAGGGGAACCCGGGGCAGGGGGTTCACGGCTCAGACCCCTTTCCAGCCTCCGACACGAGAGGGGTGAACTAGAGCATCTGGAAGTTCCTCCGGACTCTCTTGGAGTCGATGACGGCAGCACAGTGGTCGGGAGGGGAAATGTTAAGGGGAGGTATATTTAAAAATTAGCCTGTCCTGTCCCTTTTTTCAACTGCCCCAGACTGTGCAGATCTGAAATGCATCGCAGACAGGGCTCTGTCTGGTAGAGAACGTGCAGCCCGTCACATCTTTAGCAGGAGTGAGACGTGGCGCTGGTCTGAGAGGCGGGCAGACTCCACTGAGGGCTACACCTTCCCTCTCGGCCTGACATCTGATGGGGAACAGTGCGCCATGGTGGGGGACGGGGGCATCGGTGGGTTGCTGGGGCCCTGAATCCAGAGCCCTGGGGGCCGGGAGGGTTATAACCACACGGGCAAGGCCCCCATTGAGAGGTTAAATGGCAGCATGCTGGCCTCAGCGTCCCCCGTGCCCATGTTTCTTCCTCTTCTCGGGGCAAATTTTCCCCAGCCGAAGTAGAGATGGTGGCTGTCACCCCTGTTGGTCACAGGCCACTGTCACCCATCTGTGTGGATCCCCAAGTGCTTGTTCAGTGGGATACATTGGTGTTGGGGGCAACAGGAAAGTGTGAGAAAGGAGGGGTGGGGAGAAAGAGGGAAATTCACTTGATTCCATCCTGAGACTCGCCGTTGTCCCCCAGGGAGGCCCGGATCTAGAAGGTGAGGACCACGTGAAACCACAGGACATGCAGGACCGGCCTTCCCGGAGAGTTTATCTGAGTGCAGGAAACAGGCAGGGAACATTTCCAAATGTAAACCAAGAAACCAGACATGTTAGGATGAAAATGTAAACTCTGCACTTATTTTTTAAAGATATCTGGCATCTATCTTCAAGGGAATGGTAGGCTTCAGGAAGGACGCTCAGGCTCTGCCCCCCAGACCCGCAGGGCATATATGTTTCAACTCTGCTCTGCTATTAGGGGTGTTGGACGCGAGGTGAGCGCCGGCTTCCCCTCCAGCATGGCGGTCGGGGCCTCAGGCTCCGGGTCGGGGGTTCCAGGGGAACTGTTGATGCCCAGAGAGTGAGCCCTGTAATCGAGTGGGTCAAGCCTGTGACGTGTGGCGGGGACCCCCAAGAGGAGAAGCCCTGGAGGTGTGAACGGGGAGATCACTGTCCCCGGTGCCACCTGTCGGAATGAACCCACCGGCCTGGACTTGGCGAATGTTGGCCAGGAAGCCGGTGGCCACCCACGCTGTCTATTTCTTGCCTCTTCCCTCAGCTCTTCTGCACAGCACAGCTCAGGTGGAAGCTTTTAGCTGTTTGTGATTTAATCAATAGAGAAAAGAGAGTAAGGAGATCCAAGATCTGCCTTGTAAATCTTCAGGGGAAAATAACCCTTGTTTTCCTTCATCCCCTCAAACTTTATTTTTATGTTTGGAAAGACTCAAGTGCCTTTGGAGATGCGCCACGTCATCTGAAATGTAGCTGTATTCTTCCCTCTCTCTCCTTCCCTTCTTTTTCTAATTAGCTCCCTCTCTCTGTTTACCTGGCTGCCTAGCCCGGTCCAACTGCTGGGAGCAGCATCTTTGCACCGTGCGTGTCCTCTGGAGCAGAACCCACACCCCTTGCCCTGCCTGCTTTTTCATTAGCCCCTTGTTCTCCTGCGGGGGGGGAAAAAGTCACTTATTGTCTTGTGCCTCTGTTGCTTTCTCTTAATGAAGAGTCCTACACAGTACGTGTAGCATTTGAATATAAAATATGTGCATTATGTGATAATGAGAGATAAAAGTGAATCACTAAACCAGAAAAAGCAAGTAGACAGAGCAGGGATGGCACTTCTCTAGGAAATGTTGATCTCCTGCTCTCTCAAGGGCCTCTGTGTGCAGGTGTATGTGTCTTTATATGAAAATACTGCATGAGGAATGCACAACTCAAGCTGCTGAGACCCAAGCACTTTACCTCTCACTAACCTAAACATGGCGAGCTTCAACCATGCAGGAAACCTCACTTTAGATCTCAGTAGAATTGGCAGTGGCTTATTATGTGAATCCTACTTTCTGTTTATATATATATATATATATAAACAATGACTTTGCAATTAGACCTGAAGTGTGTGTCCCTGCTCTGCCACACAGCAGCTCTGTGACTTTGGGCACGTTGCTGAACCTCTCTGAGCCTAAGTGTCCATGCCTATAAAATGAAATGAGTGATAATGTCTACCTAGTGTGAGGATTAAATGAGAAGATACACAGAAAACATGTATCCCGTGACCACTCAGTAAATGTCAGCTACTCGATATTGCTACAGAGAGCGGAGGGAATTTTGAGCAAATCCGTAAGAGAGAGAAACTCCCAGTAGGTCCAGTGGTCAAAACTTGTGCTGCGCTCATTTGTCCGGCCCTCCCCGGGTTCTGCCTACAGCGGCCCCTTAGCACTTGCCACCCAGCAGCGTCTCTGTAGCTCCACGATCACCTCTGATTAGAACTTGTGCTTATCCTGGGTGCTAATGCATTTCTCCTTTGCGAAGTGTTATCCCAAGTCAGTTGATCTCCTGTGCACTCTGACAGTTTGACTTTGCACAGCAGGAA